AGTTGCCAATGTCAGAAACCTGGCAGTTGTTCTTGACCCGTACCTTTCTCTCTTCTGCTGCTAAATCATACCACAAGTCCTACTATTCCTGTTTCCTAAACGTCTCAATCCTTCCATTTCTCTCTAGCTCCATACCCTCACCCTCATTCAAATTTATTAATTCAAACCCAAATTTCTCTAGCACTTGCTCAACTTAACCCCCTGCCTCCAGTCTTGTCCCCTCCAATCTATATTCCATTCTGCAGGCCACAGAAATCAGATCATATTACTCCCCCATTTAAACCTTCCCCGCTGGCTTTAGGACAAAATCTGAACATCTCACAAGATTTTCAAAGCCTCCAAATCTCTCCTTTGGTTGTGTCTCTAGTCTCCCTTCCTACCCTTTGTGCTTCAAACTTCAGTTACCAATCATAACCAGCTTTTTTCACCTTCCCAAATACAGTGCTCCACTCCCCTCCGAGGCCTTCACACATGCTCTTCTCTCTGCTTCGAATCCGCCCTCATCCAGCTTTAGTCAGCTTTCAATCTGTAGCTTAAATCTTCCTTTCTGCAAGAAGAACTCTGACAAAGACTCTCTTCCTGATCAAACTTTAGACATCCTCCTCTGAGCCCTCTTTTTGACTAGGCCATCTTTGGGCCCTGTCCTTGGCCTGCTGAGGCAGGTTGTAGCAAGAATCCTAAGTTTAGCGAAAATCTCACCTCCCTTGATATCTGATCAAGTTCCTCATCCCCCACCCTTGACATCTAAGTCCTTGGCCTGCCTCTAGCAAAAATCCTGTTAGGCTAATTTAGCAAGAATCCTCAGCCCTTGATGTCTCCTCTTAGTAATTTTCCATCCACTGACGCCCTCTTTCTGCCTGTTGGCTATGAATCCCCAGCTGTCTTTGCTGTCTTTGGAATTGAGCTCAGTTCTATACAGAAGTCTCTTTCCCTACTGTGATAGTTACTGAAGAAAATCTGCCTTTACCATCTTTAACTGCTGTCTGGCTTTGTTTCTCTTTAAAAACTCCCTAACCTCTAGACTAAGTTAGGATTCCTATTGTACACCTCTCTACTTCCCCTGTCATGATTCTCAGTATACTAATTCCTTCCCGAAAATGTGTTTTTTATTACTGAACTGCAAGTGTCCTGAGAGCAAGGATTAGGTCTTGCTCATCATTGTATCCCCAACACAGCCCAAGACTTGACACACGTAAGACACAATCAATGTTTATGGAATAATGGAGTGAATTTTCGGAGTTGCTCACTTGCCTGTATGAAATGTTCCACCAGAACAGGCAGTTTTAGGCAGTGTGAGTACCATCAGGAGGTCGTGTGGTGGGCCTGTGCCGTGGATGGAATGCATCTGTATCTGCTTCTGTACTGTTGAGCAATTCTCAGAATCCTTCCTGGGTCTGGTCTGCCCTGGCGCAGAAACATTGAGCTGATTTTCTCTAGCAATGTGCCCAGGTAGAATTGGCTCCGTCCAACTCCTTCGCTTATTCAGGCAGACTCTCTCATCACAAGTGCCTAAAGCTCATTATTGCACAGGTAATTGTTTACCTGTGTTTCTCTCCATTTTCTGGCTACCACAAAAAATAGACTAGTCCTAAATTAATCAAATTTAGAACTCAGGCACAAAAAGGTGATTGACGAATTCTTTGTTCAATGTCACCATTCCTTATTTAGCATCTGTTTCCCTGCATGTGTATTTCACTGATGCTTGGAGGTAATTGACTGGTTTTGATACACTTTGACACACTGATAAAGATTATCAGATACATCATCAGTTTGATTGGGGGTTTTCTGCTATCTTGAAATATCTTTGCTTTCTAATGTATTTTAATAAAATTTGGAATGTGGGTAGAAGCAAACAAGACAATGATTACATTAAGTAAAAATTATCTTTCGTTAAGCAAATAGGTTAGAAGCAAAAGATTGTCATTAATATTGATAGTAAGAGACCAAAGGGGCCACCGTAAGTCCTTGCAGACCATCAGGCTTGCACTCCGAAGGAGGAAAGGTCTCATTCAAACCCTTCTGACTAATGAGGTTCTGTCATCGTTTTGAAGGTTCATGGGAGAAAGAATTCTATAACCTCTCTGGCAAACCCTTCTAGGTGTTAGAAATGCTGACTCTAGGAAACCTGAGTCTATTGATTTTTCACTTAAATTGTTCATGCTGCAGGTAGAACCTAATTCCTTTTGTCTTTTTGCAGTGTAGGAGGAAACAGAAGCTTAAAGAGGTTAAATTACTTGCCCATAATCTCATCCAATAAGTGGCAGATTTAGGATTTGAGCCTAGGCGTGTGTGACTCTAAAGCACTCCCTCTTTTGTTCTTAACCAGTGTACTGCCTTGTCTAGTTAGTGAGATTATTCAATAAACAGGATAATTTAATTCCTTAGCTAGCTTGAATTAAAGATAATGCCCACTATTGGCCATAAACCCATATGACTCTAGCTCTGTGTCCAGGGGTCCAGGTCAGTGTGAGGCAGCTCACAGGCTGCCGTTGGAAAGACTGGACATGGATGTGGAAGACTACAATGCCTCATAGTCAGGCGTGGTTCATGAGGGAGCTAGAAAGCTCTGGCATTGAGCATCCTGGGCCTTTGGTATAGTTTTACACTTCATATGACCCCATTTTACTCTCTGACATTTGCAAAGCGGTAAAGGCTAATCTGAGCTCAAGACTAGTAACTCTGTCTCAGATCCCTTGCCTGTCAAATGAGGATACTAATAGTTCTAGTAAAGATCAATGCCATATTACATGTAAAGAGGTTGGAACAGAGCCTAGTAGATAGTAAGCTCTCAATAAAGCTTAGGTATGAATACTATATTTAAATTGTTACTATTATTTTTGTTATTATGATTGTAACATGGGAACAAAGTGTTGAAACACAGCCACAGCCAATTAAGTAGTGACGAGGCCCTCTGTCCTGAGCTTCCTGCGTGGCCAGAGACTCAGCTAGTAAAGGTGGTAACGCCAGCAGCTGCTGCTGTACACGCACTGCACAGGGACCTACACACCTGGAGAATTTTGTGCATTCAATTTAACTTTTCCCAGAATTAAAACCACTGTTTTAGAATTTTTTTCTTTTACTAATAAAGTATTATTGCATTACTGTGCAGTGTTCCTGTTTATACACGACATTCTTGGGTTTCTCTTTTTCCTTACAGCTGATTGCCACACCCAGAGATTGTTTTTATTAGTCTTATTTTTGACCTTCAGATTTTTAACCATTCTTCTTACTGAATTCTTACTTTTACATTCTTAATTCTTACTGAATTCTTCTTACTTTTTCTCTTCATTTGTGCAGTTTTATTTTCATATTCTATTTGACCTTTAATTTTGCATTAGCATTTCTTACATACAGCTCATCTTTTTGTTTTTTTACACTTCTTAAAACTTAAAAACCTTTAAGTACTTAAATGCTCAAATTGCACAAGATTTTCTTACTGTAAAAACACCAAGGAATGCATATAATTCATATAAGCACTTGTCTATACTTTATTGGCTTCAAAATATTGAACATCTCTTTAAAAGTTATAATTGTGGAACTTCTATGTTTCTATTTTAAAATATGTAACAAACAAAGCTCAGAGGTGCATAACATTATTATGAAGGGTCTGACATTGTCAACAGTTCCTTAATTAACAGGCATGGTTTTTACGAGATCTCTAGATGCTTGCCCATTTGTTAGCTGGAGGGATCCCACGAAGAACTCTTTCAGATGAGTCAGAAGGACGCATGCCTGTGTTCTCTCTTGTCACCTTAGCCCACAGGTAAAGCTGATGGGGTTCCCCTGCCCCCTGGTACCCACACATATACACACCCACATGCCTTGAATTGTCTATCATTTTGAGACTTTCTCCTTAAAGACCACAGTTGATGTTCATCTTAATTAGATTTACGTCTACATAAAGGCAGGTAGGGTGAATGTGTCACAGGAGTACACCAATGCCTGTGTCCCAAGCCAACCCCCTCACCTCCACCCTGACCACCTCATATTTGTGAATGAATGTACTTGCTTAAACCTGGTAGGGTGGAAAATACCTAAAGGGAGTTTTGTTAAGAAAGATGACGTTTCAGTTCTTCCTAGCAATCTAGCTGCTGGTGAATGTAAGCCACTGTCATTCATGTCCTCATCTTTCTCTGAGCAAAAGCCCTGTCATGAAAATGACATTGTGACTAAGCAGATGGACTCACACAAATATAAGGAAGTTATTGAGAGGTCAAGGCCCTAATTTAGGAAGATTTAATGGGACCTGCTAACAGTACCTTCTGAGTACCTTGCTAGCACATACACACTAATTATGTACACCTGCCCAGGGCCAGCTGCCTCTATGGAAGGTCCTGAGTGTCCACACGGTGAGTCAACGGATGAATACTACCTCAGAAGCATATAAACACTCTGCCTTTCTCAGCTTCTTCTGGCTGCTGGGGAGCAGGAAGTAGCCTAATTAACGCAGTTGCATCCCAAGCATCTAGATTGGAGAAATAAATAGTATCAAGAAGTCAAAGCTTTTTGAGAAGGTTAATGATCCTATATGAACTGCTGTGGAATTTGCAAGAAATTTTGCTTTGGAGGTTGAGGTGCAAAGAGTCTGGTTTCTGAAGCCTAACTATGACTCAGCAAACACCACAGGCACCAATATCAGAGGAATGCACACCTCACTCCATGTCAGCATGGCAGGTGCAAACAGCTGCTCTGTGCAAGTTTATCTGGGTGATCACAGCAGTAGCGAATGAACCAGGTTTATGTCAGGCCCAGGGCCAAGGACCAGGAAGTCTTTTTCTAGGAAATGGCTGCAGTGCCAGCAAACTTTTTGCACAAAATATAGGAATGATTAACATAATGTCCTGAAATAATTTTTTTTTTTTTTTCTGCTTGAGGAAGATTCCCCCTGAGCTAACAGGTGTGCCAGTCTTCCTCTGTTTTGTGTGTGGGTCACCACCACAGCATGGCTACTGATGAATGGTGTAGGTCTGTGCCTGGGAACTGAACCTGGGCCACTGAAGTGGAGCACAATGAACTTAACCACTAGGCCACAGGGCCGGCCCCAGAAATAATTTTTTTTTTACAAGTCATAAGACTGTTTACTCTGTTATTGGAAAAACAGAGATATTCTTTCTTTCTTTCCTTGCCATAATCCATAGCAGGCAAGGGGAGATTACTGGGTTCCTAAAGTTTTTCTAAGGGTCTCTGCTCCAATTCCCTACTTTTGTATCTGTAGGACAGAGGCTACATGGTACTTTCAAAGTCACGGTTCTCAAACTTTCAACTTGACCACAAATCTCTTTCTGTATATTTGCCTGGAAGTTCATTTCTCAGACTATGTAGTCTTTTCTTGAGCCATTTTTACAGTGAAATTTTAACTACACTTGTATAGAAGTTTTTCTGTATTTATTCCCGTCTACCCACTATCGTTGAGTCAGGTCTCTGCCTTAGAAAAAAGAAAAAAGGAGATGGGAGAAGAAAACAGTGATACTGATTGTTAGGTTTTTGGAAATGGATCAAATTGCCCAAAAATTCATTCTCTAGAATCAGTCTTAGAAATAACCATTAACGATTCAATTCTATCAGATAGCTTTTGCCGCATAATAAACTGCCCGCAAAATTTGTGGGTTAAAACAGTAACTACTTATGTAGGTAACAATTTTGTGGGTCGGCAGTTTGGGCTGAGCTTTGCTGGGCAGTTCTTCTGGTCTTGGCTAGGCTCGGTCACGAGTCTGCTGGATTGACTGGGAGCTCTAGGGTGGTCTCAGCTTGGCTGGTTTGTTGCTGCTTTACACAATCTCCTCACGTTCCTGCAGGCTAACCCAGGCCTTTTCACACAGTGTCTGGGTAGGGATCCTAGAGAGAGAGCAGAAATGTTCAAGGCCTCTTCAAGGCCTACCTTGGAACGGGCACAACATCACTTCCACCACATCCCATTGTCCAAAGCAAGTCACAAGTCCATCCCAGATTTAAGGGCTAGCCTACCTCTTGATGGGAAGAGTTGAAAAGTCACGTTGCTGAAGGCATAGATATGGGGAGGAGAAGAATTGTAGTCATTTTTGCAATTTATTACACCTACTGAATAAAAGAGCACAAATTCCTGCCACTCTACCCTCCAGCCAACAATTTCTGGCATGGCGGATGGGGAATGTGGTCTTTCTCCCTCTTCTCTTTGGATCACAAGTTACTCATATTGTCAGAGGGCATGAATTTGGGTTAAGGAGGGCCAGGGCCCAGCAGTTGAATCCAATTCTAAGCTAATCATATATATAAAAGTCAAAAAGCTTACCAAATAGATCTATTATAACTAATTGTGTTGCAATCATATTTTTCTTCTCTTTGTGAAGGAATGAAACACACTTCCTCAATGATTTTAGAGTAGGATTTGACATTTAAAAATTTGATTTACATACAACCTTTCAATCATTTGCTACGCTTACAGCTGGATTAAGAAACCTTGGTTGTACTTCCTGTCAGAATATGGGATTACTCTTTTAAGGGCCTTAAAGTGATCTTTGTAAAAGTTTGATCACAGTGGGAGACAGTATTGCCTAGTGGTTAAGAGCCCAGGTTCTGGAGTCAGACTGTTCTGACTCTGATGCTTCTAGACGTGTGTTCTTTGACAAGTCAATCTCTCAAGCCTCAGTTTCCTCATCTATACAATGGAGATTATAACAGCTGTTCCCTCCAAGAACTACTGTAAGGATTCTGGGAGGTGACGCCCACAAAGAGCCTCGCATGGGTCCCAGCACCAAACGTGTTAGTTTCTCTTCTTTAGGATGGTGATGATGATGGTGGTGGTGATGGTGGTGGTGGTCATGAGGAATTTGGTCTTTGCCCTCTGTCACATCTCCACATTCACTCCTCTTTATGGTCAACTTAATTTGCCAATTCTTAATTCTTCTGCTCTAGGAAATCTGAAGCAATAGGTAGTGGGTATATGTGAAAGAATACAGAGGAAAGAAGTCTATTTTTGAAAATACACTAAAATACAGATTCACCTTCAAAATAGCAAGGTAGCATAACATGAATAAATTCTAGGAGAATTACATAAAAATAAATAGCTGTGTCTGTTTCAGTGATGCCTGAGAGCAGGTATAAGAGAGCAGAGGGAGGGGTGATGGCCTCCATGGGATTCAGGAACAGCAAAGTAGGGGGTAGGGATCAGCAAGCAGAGCCAAGAGCCCGTGGTTTGTGGGCATGTGGGAAACACACAAACCACAGGCTTCTCACTGTCGGATCCACCAGCGGCTCGCCAGCAGTGACTGAGAGGGCGACAGTGCACAAGGCGAATGGAGAATGGTTTCTAAATATAAGGACTTTTGGTGTAGTCCTGAAAGCTCAGCTGGTCTATAATAAGCTTTGACCTTTTCCACTCTGGAACAAGACTGCGCAAGAGGTTGGTTTACTCTTTCTTGGCCTCAGGTCACAACAGTTCATTGCAGAGAGTGACACAGCTGAATGTACAAACTATTAATACAAAGATATTTGTTTTCAAAGTGTGGGTTAGGTATGAGCTTAATAGTCTGTGTTGAAAAAGAAGATCTCTGTCTCTGGCAGTAGCCCTTAAATTTTTGGCATCCCCGAGACATGCTAAATTGGAGCTGTAGGCAGAAGTCCTGTGGAGGGGAAATGTTGCTGGGAAATGCTTTGCCTGGGCATTCCAGACCCTATGCTCTCTCCAGGCCTGGTGAGAGAAACCCTCGGCTTGCATATGGGCTGCCTGGGGTTTCAGTGAGACTCTCATAGCCCAAAACGAAAGCAGTCCGAGGACTTCTTTTTAAGTTATCAAAGAAAATGTCAATCAGTCTTCAGCTAGTTAGTTCATGGCTACAATCACACATGACCGATAACTTCTAAGGTTCTTAGAATCAAAGTAATTTTGTTGTTTTTATTCCAGTTGCTTTATTTCTCTTTAAAAGCAGGGAGAAGATCTCACTGAACTTTTTAGCCTACAGTGTGTACGGTTTAACTCTAAAGCAATAACATTGATTTTCTTGGATGGCTGTTAAATGGACCAGTTTCAAATGGGAGTCCTAGGAGGGCTCTGAACAACACAGTAAATATGCAGCTACACCTTTAAAAAGGTGTGGTTTGCCAGGACACCAGCACTAAAGGACTGCATCACTGTCACTTGGCCCAAGAGGCACTCTTAGGAGAGCTGGCCAGCTAGAGAGCCAATGGGAGCAAACTCCTCTTCACCCTTCCTTGGTTCCCATGCTATCTCCTGAGCGCTTCATTGTGCCCTGTGCTGCTCCTTCCCTGGTTCTTGGCCTTCTTGGCATCTTAGCTTTTGCCTCACCTACAGTCTCTGGCCTCACCATTGCCCTGCAGTCCTGGTGCTTGGTGACCTGCCCTTTACCGCCTCCCCTGTGCACCCACACCTTGTGTTACATCTGCTCCCTGCTACTCTGGGTAACAGCTTCCCCTAGTCCTGCCAGACCCTGGGCGTTTGCCCCAAGGTTAGTGCATGGGTGTGTTCAGGGGAGTACTCCTGGCTCAAGAAAAAGATACTAATAGACTTGTTTCACCACAAACACCTTTTAATAAATTCCAAACAGCTTGTACCACTTCTGCAACATATTTATTCTTAATTCTGTAAGTTCAACATTTTTTTAGTTATTGATCAATTAGCACATATCAATTGAGACCTGCTAGGTATCCAGTGCTAGGCTTGGCATTAAGCAGTTACCTTGTTACCTTCGATCCTGAAGAGGAGTAAGGGTGATCCAGCTGGAAGATCTGTCTCCCCACACTGGCAAGAGCAGGCTGCACTTTTCTCTGTGGTTGAAAAGGACTATTTTCCGTCCTAGTCCACGTGGGCATGCCCTGAAGCTGTCAAAGGAGAGAAATCCTTCCAGATAAACCGTTCCTTCATAAAGTGTACACACATTGTCAAGTGCAGAAACAAGAAGTAGAATTTTGTGTGGAGTGTACTTGCGTCAGTTGAAAAAGCAAGGGAGGGTCCGTATGCGTACAGCGCCTCTGGAAGGACGCGGAGGAAAGCGGTAACTGGATGCGTCTGAGGAAGGGGCCTGGGTGGTTGCAGAGTCAGAGGAAGAAGGGGGAGTTTTTGCTGTACACCCTTTTGTAACTTTTGAATTTTAAAACACGTGAATGTTGTAGCTATTTTTTAAAAAATAAATAATTGAAATCTATTTTTTAAATGTTAAGTCCTCAGAAAGGGAGTGGGGTAGAGCTGGAATATGAGGAGCTTCAGTCCCTTCCTGTAACCTGGAATCTTGAGCAAACTGACGAGAGAGGTGCACAAGTGTAGATATAGAAAGTGAATCCCTAGGAAATTGTAGAAGGAAGCAGAATTCAGCCTAATAGAATTAGGTGGGGGTTCGTTTGGGTTTTTTTCTGAAAAATATGTTGAGACAGCCCTCATGAATGTGCATGTGCTGGGCCCCCTTGGCCCACGGCTGGGAAGCAGATAGGCAGGCTGATGACAGGCCAAAATAAGAGACTAGAGGGAACCATCTGGAAAGCTCCAGTGAATCTGAGTGGTTTAGCCAGCAGAGATTGCCAACTGCGTTAAATTCTGCATAAACGCTTGTGTGGGTTTCTGTGAGGGCCCACCGCCAATTAGGGATTTGAAAACTCACAAAGTGTTTAATTTTGTGAGGTTCGTTTGAATTTTAGGCAGGAAGAGTTGAGTTTTGATGATACCCTTCACAGTATCTTCCCTAATACACCCTCGTTCTCCTCAAAACAGAATAAATTTGTGTTCCCTGGCGTAAACAATAAATGTGCACAGGAAGTGCTTTACAATATTGCTTACGGCTGCGTCTACAATCTGCTATTTATACTTCCACCACTTTTTCTTGGTGACAAATGAGCTTAATACAGTGACAAAGCTACAACAGAGCCCCGTGCAGCACGTAGAGAAGTAGTCACCAGATACCCAGTTGGTTGTCAAATTTGCAAAGCAATCACAGCAGGCCACCAGCACCAAAACTCTTCAGAGCAACTCACAAATGTTAAAAATTAGAATCTACTTAATAAGCATACTGAATGAGGCTACTGTAATAGCTTCTATGCACAATCTTTAAAATACGGGTTTTTTTAAGAAAAGCAAAACATACACAAGATCTGTTCTTTTGGTCATGTTTGATGGACATCTAAAAAGTTCGTAACAAAATATTCATATTGCAACTCTAAACCGTGGGAAATTGGAACAAAAGCAAATCCCTGAGGTGGGCAGAAGTCTCTGCTGAACTAGAATCAAATGAGCCACCCCTTGTAGGATCACAGAGAGTGCTGGAGACCAGTCCCTCACTTTGTTTCTCTCCTTACAGGCGGGTTGAACGTATTTGGATGTCAACTCATCTTCTTAATTTCACAGCTTAGGAAATTTACCTGGATTACTTCCTTAAGTCTTCACAGTTACCAGCTGGGCTATAATGATTCTGTTTTATGGATGAAGAAGCTGGGACCCAGAGAGGCCAGACATTTGCTCAAAATCACATAGCTAGCCAGTGGTCAAACCTGGGCATCAATGAGATCATTTTATATGTGCTATATTTAACGGAAAAGTATTCACTTTACACTTGAATATTAGAAGAAAAGAAAACTGGAGTAAATTTGGGCTGCCGTGTACAGTTGTGCAGGTGAGCACTGTCCAACCATAGGGGGCCCATCCACGTTACAGCCCCTGTCAAGGACCCTCTGAGAGCTGTGCAGTGCACAACATACATAGGCATGTGCCCTGGCCCTGAGTAACCTGAAGGAGTGATGAACTTTGGGTAAATATTTCTTTCTTTTTTTTTTTTTTTGAGGAAGATTAGCCCTGGGCTAACATCTGCTGCCAATCCTCCTCCTTTTGCTGAGGAAGACTGGCCCTGAGCCAATATCTGAGCCCATCTTCCTCTACGTTATACGTGGGATGCCTGCCACAGCATGGCATGCCAAGCAGTGTCATGTTTGCTCCTGGGATCTGAACGGCGAACACCTGGGCTGCCGAAGAGGAACATGCGAACTTAACCGCTGCGCCACCGGGCCGGCCCAAAGGTAAATATTTCTTTACCATGAGAGATAGTATTTCCTAAATGATCCCTGACAAGTTAGGAAAATTGATTACAGACAAAAGCAGAGGAGGAGAAGAGATTATGTAAACCATTTAGAGATTGGCAAATTTATTTTATGCTTCAAATTTGACAGACTAAATTAACTCACTTTGCTATGAAAGATGTGGTAATTAGAATTATCACCTATCCTCTCACATCTCTTCCCTCTCTCTTCTGGTTTTTGGTCATCATACTATTATTGTTACATAGTCAAGATTTATAATATTTACAATCTGTTAGGGATTGTAATTCCCGCAGTCGCTTAGTCTTAATCTCACATCTAAAAGGATCACCAGACCTTATCTCATGGCCTCTCCGTTATTCATATTGAGTAATTTCTTAATTGGCCCCCAAATTATCACTGAGTACCTATAATTTTGTGATTTTGCTCAAATATTCCTGTGAGATGGATTCCAAGAACTTGGAATTGTTGGGTAACAGGGAACAAGCATTTAAAAATTTCATAGGCATTGTCAAATTGATCTCTAAAAAGGCTGGACCAATTTACACAATCACCAACAGTCCATGAGAATATCTTTATTCTTATGCCCTCACCAGCCCTGAATATTATCACTTTTTAAAATTTTTGATCATTTGAAGTATTGAGAAGAGTATCCTACCCCAGAAGCCAAGTCATAGATAAGGACTTTTAGTAGTTTCCTGTAGATTTTCCACAACATTTTGCTGATATGCCAGCATAAAATCTAAACACACACACACACACACAGAGTGTCTTTTTAACATAAAATGGAGGATACTATAAAAACTGTTCTCCGTCTTGCTTTTTCCCCGTTAATTATCATACAGAAAATTCCATATCAGCACGTATCCATCTAATTTTTAAAAGCTGTTTCAATATATAGATGTTCCAATATTTGTTGAATGTTCTATTAATGGTCTCTTAGGATTGTTCAGACTTTTACTTCAAAAAATGCTACAGTTAATATTTTATATCGACGTCTTTGAACACGTGTATGAATATGTCTGTTGGTTAGATTCCTAGAAGTGAAATTTTGGGGTGGAAAGGTGTGCGCACTTAATATTTTGATCAATATTGCCGAAATGGCCTTTAAAGAGGTTGCACCATTTGCAGCCACACGAGCAGTGCATGAAATTACCTGTTTACCCTTGGCCTTTCCAAAGTAGTGTGGTGGTAGACTTTTGGAACATTCTCAATCTAGAAAGTGAAAAATAATATCTTAGTTTAATTTTAATGTCCTCTTGTTTTATGGGTAACAATAGACAAACTTTTAGTATGTCTAAGAGGCATTTGTATGTTTTTTTCTATGAACTCTCTTTTTACATCCTTTGCCCATTTTTATATTGGGTTTTTGGTAACGGCTGTTTCTTTTTGATTTGTAAACTCATTTATATATTGAGTAAATTAGTCTTAGCCATCTGTTACTATTTGCTAGTATCTTAGCCATTTGTTAATATTAGTTCCCATTTGTAGTTTGTCTTTCTTTGAAGTATTTTTGGCTATGGAGAATTTTTTTGTTTTACTTTTATGTAGACAAATACATCAATATGTTTCTAGGTTTTGTGTCTTCCTTAGAAAGGCCTTCTTCATTCCAAGACTGAATTAAAAAATTATTTTAGGGCCGGCTCCATGGCCGAGTGGTTAAGTTCGCACGCTCCACTTCGGTGGCCCAGGGTTTCACTGGTTCAGATCCTGGGTGCAGACATGGTACCGCTCATCAGGCCACGTTGAGGTGGCGTCCAACATGCTACAGCTAGAAGGACCCACAACTAAAATATACAACTATGTACTGGGGTGATCTGGGGAGAAAAAGCAGGAAACAAAAAAAAGAAGAAGATTGGCAGCAGTTATTAGCTCAGGTGCCAATCTTTAAAAACAAAAATTATTTCATATTTTCTTCAGGTGCTTTCATGGGTTCATTTTTTTTTTTTTATGTTTAAATATTTGACTCATCTGCTACTTATCTGGGAGTAAGGTGGGCATTCAATTTCCTTTTTGTTCTAATTAATTGTTAGCCTATTGAACATCGAATGATCCATCTTTTCCCCACTGTTTAGAAAAGCTGCTCTCAAGAAAATCACCGAGTTTCCAGTGGAAAGGTGCCTAAGGAGCCTCTAGCTTGGTGGTTCAGACATGTTGGCTTGCAGACTGGTGCTCTGCTGGGATCTCAAGAGGTGCTCACAAAAATGCAGGTCCCTGCCTCAGGAGCTGCAGGTTCTGAAGGTCTCAGCTGGGGTTCAGGTTACTGTCTTTCTTTTTTTTATTTTAGAGGAAGATTAGCCCTGAGCTAACATTGCTGCCAATCCTCCTCTTTTTGCTGAGGAAGACTGGCCCTAACCTAACATCTGTGCCCATCTTCCTCTACTTTATATGTGGGACGCCTGTCACAGCATGGCTTGACAAGCGGTGCCATGCCTGCACCCAGGATCCGAACCAGCAAACCCTGGGCCGCCAAAGCAGAATGTGCGAACTTAACGACTGTGCCACTGGGCTGACCCCAGGTTACTTACTTTCTTTCCCTGACTTTTATTTTAAAATTTTCAACCCAATAGAAATGTTTCATGAATAGTTCAATAAACAACTACATGTATTTCACCTAGATTCACTGTTATTAACATTTTCCCACATTTATTTTAGCTCTTTCTCTCTCTATATATTTACATACCTATTCACATACACACACGTTTATTCTTTGAAGCCTTTGCGAATTAGTTGCAAACATTTCTGTTTACCTTTATATATTTCCACATTTTTATCATAAGAACAGAGATATTCGCCTACATAGCCCCCATATAATGGTCATACTCAGGAGATTTACTATTGTTACAATACTGTTATCTAACTAAGAGTCCATATTCAAACCTTCCCAATTGTTCCAATAATAATCTTTATAGTTAGGTTTTTTTTTGTTTTTTTGGTGAGGAAGATTGTCCCTGAGCTAACATCTGTTGCCAATCTTCCTCTTTTTTGCTTATGGAAGATTGTCACTGAGCTAACATCTGTGCCAATCCTCCTCTATTTTATGTGGATGCCACCTCAGCATGGCTTGATGAGCAATGTGTTGGTCTGTGCCCAGGATCTGAACCAGCAAACTCTGGACCAGCAAAGCAGAATGTGTGAACTTAACCACTATGCCACCAGGTCAGCCCCATAGTTGTTACTTTTTAATCCCAGATCCAATCAAGAATCTTCAATCTTCAATTTAGTTTTCACATCCCTTCAGTCTTCTCTAACCTAGGATAGGTTATTTTTTCTTTCTTTCTGTTCCTTTGTCTTTAATTACCTTGACATTTTAGTTGCTTTGCAAAATGTCCTTCAGTTTGGATGTTTGTTTCCTTGTGATTAATTGAAATTGAGCATTTTTGGCAGGAAGGCTCCATAGATGATGTGCATGATATTAAGAGATATCTAACGGCAGTTTGTCATCACCATCATTGGTGACGTTAAGTTTAATCACTTGGTTAGTGTGGTGTCCACCAGATTTTCCAGCTATCTGTAATTTTTAGATGCTACCCATGTGATTCTGATGTAGAGCCAGGTTTGGGAATCACTAATTAGTCAAATTACTACTCAGAGATGGGAATCTCTCCTAGAGGGTCTTTGAAGGCTGGGCATTTGCAGGAATTTCGTTAGTTCTAGTAAAGGGGAACTTACAGGCTTTAAGAGCAGACAGATTCTTCATCTAGTTTAGTTCATTAAAAAATATTTTTTAATACCCAAAAGAAAAGAATTAAAAGCAGGGCTTCAAACAGATACTTGTACACTCACGTTCATAGTGGCATTATTCACACTTGCCCAAAGGTGGAAACAACCCACATGTCCATTGATGGATGAATGAATAAACAAAATGTGGTATATACATACAATGGAATATTATTCAGCCTTAAAAAGGAAGGAAATTTTCACACATGTTGCAACGTGGATGAACTTTGAAAACGTTATAATACTTGATGTTCCTAAGTGAAGAAAGCCAGACATAGAAAATTATATACCAAATGATTCCACTTATATGAGGTGCCTAGAACAGTGAAATTCATAGAGAGAGAAAGTAGAATGGGGATTTCTGGGGCTGCAGGGCTGGGGGTGGGGGGTAGACTGGTGAGTTAGTGTTTAATGGGTACAGAGTTTCTGTTTGGGAAGATGAAAAAGTTCTGGAGATGGATAGTGGTGATGGCTGCACAACAATGTGAATGTACTTCATGCCACTGAATTGTGTACTGAAAAATGGTTAAAATGCTAAGTTTTATGTTGTGTGCATTTTACCACAATAAAAAAAAGACAAAAAAAATTTGTTTATAATAAGATAAAATTTTCCCTTTGTAACTTCCCTTCCTTGGTTTTGGCTTTTGAAACAACCCAAAATGCACCTCTCTCTCTTCCATATAATATCCTTTCAACTAGTCTCCAGACTATACATACACTGCCCCTCTCTGTCCCCCATCCCCCCAACCACGGTGGGCGCAGCGTAGAGTTGAGTGGAAATTTGACTTCTCACACATTGCGTATTATCCTCTTTTAAAAATCACAACCTTTTTTTTTTAGAGAAAATTAAAATTAAACATCCTAGTACTAAAGCAGCCCACCCATTTCAGACGTGGGACAACATCTGTGGCACTTGCCCGGGGCTCTCCTTCGCTTTTTGTTCGGAGCTTATACTCGAGTCCTGTGCCTGCAGAGGATCACCGGGCTGCAGCGGCTCTTTGAAAGTAGGTCGTGTGTGATGCTTTATGTCAAGTAAGCTGTAGAGAATGCTGAGGTTTTTAATTTTACCTCCTGGAGGCTTCAGGGCAGACAAAGGAAAACTTTGTCACCTGGAAACAGCTTGGCATTTCTTGATAAGCTCATATAATAATTTGTAGGCAAAAAGACAGTTCAACTTTTCCATAGCAACCAATCCATTTCCTCCAGTGAGGTAAGCCCTGGCAAGCTTATTAGCTGCCCTCACAGCTCAGCATGCACTTGGCTGCCAGGCCACAGGCTCTGTGTGAGGTGCCCCACGCTCCATGCAACTCCAAATTCAGGCCCAAGGAGCCTCAGTGTCATTTGGGTTCCATGCTGATCAGAGGGACTCAAGGTCCAATGCCATCCCAAGGAAATCACTGAGCAGGTGCTGGGTCTCCCCCTGCCCCTCGTGGGTGATGCTCAGCTTTGGGATTTCTGGGGAGGCTGCACCAGCCTGGACTCATCGGCACTCTTTGGAGGATATTTGTGTCCTTTCATGGAGCAAGCAAGAGCAAAAATAATCAGAACAGAGACAGGAAGAAGAGGAGTCCAGAGTGAGTAGAGGAGAAAAGGATCAGTGCATCTAGGGCCTTGCTTGGGAGCCAGTCTCTCCTCTTCTCAGGAGTGTGAGCCCCTCCCTGCACCCACCAACCTGCAGAACCGGCCAAGGGCAAGGAAACAGCTCTCGCTGCCTGCAGGCGGACCCCAGACTCACCTTCTCTAGAGCCTTCGACTCATGCTGTCCAGCCTCCTCCAAAGATAATGTGGCCTCTCAGGTCTTGAATAAAGGGATGGCTGCTGTTACTGAGGAGAAAGAGCAATCACAAATCTCCGAGGACTCGGGGGAGATGGGAGGGGCCCAGGCCAGCTGTGAAAAGGAATGGGTGTTCCTTCTGCTTTCTTTGGTCCCAGCCTGCTCCTTCAGCTCCTTTGGCCCAGAGAGCAACAATCCAGTTCAAGTGGGGGTCAGACCTTCAACAAGAGCCCCAGGCAGGAGTTGGGGAGAAAGGCCTGGGATCCTGAGAGTAAGGTCTTCCCCTCCACCGTACTCCACCGTCCTCTTTCCCACCATCATCCTAGGCTGAGGCGAGCCCTGGGTGAGTTGGAAAGTTAAGGCTCTTTGCAAGGGGTAGGACGAGACACTGAGCTGAAAAGGAATTGAGGAGATAACACCCTGGACCCCAGAAGCATTCCCCTTCAGTCCATCTAACATGACAAAAGCCTTCCTTCTTCATTCTCTTTGCTTGCAGATTGACTTCTGCCCGTAAGATAGTATTTTCCTTCTCGTGACAAGCCTCCTACATATCACTCCCATCCAGGCAACCGTCACCTGCTCATCTGGAGGAGACTATTTTTGTGCCCAATTCACTTGCTGAGAACTATTGTGCTTCAATGTCTACAGTGAAAATGGAAGGAAAAGTGAAAAACTCCAGTCCTCTGCCTTGGTAATGAGAGTGCAGAATCAAAAGCATCAATATATACAGCTGCCAAGCATTTTGTGGCGAAGGAAAAGTGAGGGAGGAAGGCAAGAGGGCCAAAGGTCATGGCCAAGATGTGTTTCCTTTACTCAGTATTTGGTCTGGGCCTGACCATCTTCTCTACACCGAACTCTGTCCTCCAGAAATGGGTGCAGTGACCCACAAATTAAAAAACACTGTAGGCCAATGGGGTGCCTCTTTAACCCTTTGGTGAGTTATAAAATTGCCTTTGAAGGTCAGTTACAGTCCAGAGCAATCTCTAGGGAAACCATATATTTTTTTAAAGAACGAGAATTGACACCATGACATAAAATTGACAAATTACATAAAGTAATCTGGAATTTCTTGAAATGAAAAATAATAACAGAAATATTAGCCCTTTTATTGTTAAAGAAATAAAAGAAATGGAAAGGGAGAGGCCACTATGCATTCAGGAAGGAAGTGCAGAGTCTCTAAGCACATGCTGAGAAACATGAAACCCTGTGCCTGAACGTACAGGAATGCGGCTCTCAGATTCCCCACACAGAAGTACTCTCTTGGCAAGCAAAGCTTATGAAGTAAACAAGCAGCCATGGAGACCTCTCCCAGTTTCCACTGTTCTAGTAAACACTATGAGATAACATTCTGAGCTTAACCATTCTCTCTCCAGTGACACTGCCTACCATCTTGAAAGATTTAAAGCAGTGCTTGTGGGAAGTTTAGAATGAACTGGAAAGTCACCTTCCAAAACAGAGCACTCCAGCCCCAGAGCACTCCTGTTACCCTGAGTTGATTGACATCAACTCCACTACACTGCACTCTGCTGAGGCAAGGGAGAGGAAAGGGGGTGACAGCAACAACGAAAGAAACTCTGACTGCAGCCCTTTGGTATCTATGTCGGGAGGCAGAAGCCCTGCCTGAATCATCATCAGTGGATGAAACCATTGGACCAAAGGTTGACAGGAAATTTCACAAAGGAGTGATCAAGATGGCCCTATGTGAACCCATCAGGCCCTACCCAGTGAAACTTGGCATCTCTAAGAGTAAGACAACCAGACATGTGTCTCCTGGTATGCTGCATGAGGGAATACACAGCATCCCCTATCAGATGTTCTTTCCAAAAAGGTTTAACCTATACTGAATCAATCCTGTACATCTAACTTCCTGTTCATAGGAAATACAAGGGTAGAGGAACAAAGTTAAATGATCCCACCAGGAAGCAAACAGTGAAAGGCAGATCATGGAATGTTCTACAATACAAATGACCTTGTTTTTTTCAACACATCATTAGGATAAAAAAGTAAGAAGAAAAAGGAGGAGAAGGAGAAGAAAATAAAGGAGAAGAAGGAGGACCTGCTCTATATTAAAAGATGCTTAAGGGACATAATAGCCAAATGCAATGTATGGACCTTGTTTGGATCCTGATTACAACAAACAGGGGAGGCGGGAGGGGATTGCGACAATCAGGGAAACTTGCATGTGAACTGCTCTGAAATGATACCAAAGAATTATCAAGTTAGTTTTGTTGATTATGATGTTGGCATTGGGTTATGTAAGAAAATGTCCACAGTTTTTAAAGATGTGTGCTGAAGTTGTTACCACACAAAAATGGGGTTCTCCTACTTGAGGTGCATAAAAAAGTCCATTGTCTACAGCATCAGCTTTTTGAAAAAGAAATCAGCTTTATTCTGCAAGATTGATCAGCAGGGAGCCAGGGGGCATGTGGCCTCAGCTCTGTCTCCCCAATTCAGGATTTGAGGTGAAATTTAAGAGGTTGGGGAGAACAGGCTGGCACATGGAAACGCTGGTGGGACAGGTCTTGATTGGTGAGCTTCAAGCATTTATGGTTGACAGGGTTCTAAACATTTATGACCGGGTTCTAAACATTTATGATAGGGTGGGGAAAGAATTTTAACAGTGGATCTTCCTGAATGATGGACCCCTCGCTTCTGGTAAGAGTCCGACTTTTAAGTTCCAGTCGTGTTCTGGTCCTTTGGTTCCAGGGGGAGGAGAATCTTTGGTTCCTCAGTCATTTCAGGTCAATATTTCTTCTTCTGCACATGCTCTGGCTATGTAACTTTGCATATTTTCTGAAAGACAATTTCTTAATCACTCTGTTAATAAGAAAAGGAGCCTGTTCGAATTGGCTCAAGATGGGTCTGTGGTTACAAAGTTTGTAGGGGTAAAATGACAAGGTGCCTGATATTTGCTTTAAATTACTTCAGAAAAGAAGGATAGCTAAAGCAAGAGTACTGTTTATAATGCTTGTGAGATAAGGTATTCATGACTTTATATGTATGAATATACAATGTGCACCAGTGAAACAAACTTGCTCTGTGTAACACACAGACATAATTGAAAACACGTTAGGTCTATTAGCACTTACTTAAAACAAGCAGAAAAAGTGTTTTTATGAGTAACTGGAAATAGATCTGTTCTTTTTTCCTCTTTCAAAAATAACAAAAACCAAAAGAACTTCTTTAGGACAGAGAGACAGCTCACATACAAGGAAATATGGATGACTTTCAGAAAATATGATTTATTTGAAAATCTATTAATTTCTAAGAAACTTAAGGAATATTAACCACAGATTTGCCCTTTGGAACAAAATGGGGCTAGATTTTCCTTGGTGTCCAGGCTTTCTCTAGGACAATAGTCTTCAAAGCATCACCTGGGAAGAATGCAAATTCCTCAGGTTTATGCTAGACCTATGAATCAGAAGCTCTTGGGGGTGAGGCCAGCAATCTTGTTTTAACAAGCCCTCCAGATAATTCTGTGCACACTGAGAACCACTGTTCTGAGAACAGCAAGTTGAGTGTTAAGAAGGTACATCAATTCTGGGAACCCCTGAGAGCATCCTTTAGTGCAATGCGGAAGAAATGCACTAAATGACTCATTGCTCTTTTTTGCTAAATGGTGGGGGTTTATCAGTGGTAATGTCCCACATCCCCTCCTATGAACGTATCTCAGCTGTATAGCTATTGTCAGGAAGCGGGTTAACCATTCGCTTTAAATCTAGGCCTGGCCAGGAGGTTAATGTTCTCAAAGGATTTTGAATCTGGTTGCCAGGTGATGTCCTTTTAACATCTCGTTCCTTATGCACACCTCAGCTCCTGATTTGATGAACCACATCTTTGAAGTGCTATCAGCTTCAGAGTGTTTGTTGGAGTCCTCCAGCCTCAGGAGACTAAACTTTCCACTCCTTGGCAGGTCCCCCCTCAGGCATTTTCTTTTATTCAACCAGTTAGTTTATGCAAAAGTTAGAAACAGAAGCAGAAATTAGTAGAAATCTGTGCTTATACCAGAAACATTTTCTCTTCCTAGATCTCTGTGAGAAGTGAGAAGTCTCTGTTCTGCAAGAAAAATATCATTTTGTTCAAAGAGATTAGAAATGCCCCTTGGAAAATATAGTTGTACTTCTAATACAATCATCTATGCTAATTCCTGAGTGAAAGCAGGAGAAAAGAAAGTCACCTGTCGGTGTCATGGACTTCTGAAGCCAGCTCTGAATAGGCTGAGGCTGAGTTGCTGGGGGATCCAAGGAACCAAGACTCCACCATGGAAAAAAAGCATCTTGAACCAATCTTTAGTTTGAAAGACAGTGTTGACTACGCAGTCCAGTTTCGCCAGGGCCTGACTGCTTACCAACTTGGAGGTGTAGGTCTAAATTTCTAAAATGTGGAAGCTGGTTTCCTAGTAAATGACAAGACAGGGCGGAAAGAGCATCGATCTTAAAACCTGACGATACAAGGTTCAAATCTCAGCTTAACACATATCTGTGTGAACTAGGTCAGATTTGTTATTCTCCGAGCCTCCATTTCCTTATTTAGGAAATGAGAATAACACCTAGCTTGCAAAGGTTGTGTGAGTTTATACACACACACATACACACAGAGAACATTCTGTTCTGCTACAGTCATGTTTTTGTAAACATGAATTAGCTCACATGTGAGTGGTAAATAGTGGAATAGTGGCAGGATAACATAGAAGTCCTGAAGAACTTCACCAGTGAGCTGTTTTCCTCCATGAGGAAGAGCAGCTGGTCACAGGGTATAGCTACACAGCTGAATATGGCAACTGTGAGGAACATAGTACTGTCCACAGTGTCTAGTCGCCGCTTACTTTTTTGGCTCAGTTCCATCCACTGCTCTGCCGAGAAAGTGTTCATTGCATGGTTTCCCCAATCTTTGGGCACGTTGCCCTTGCCACCATAATTCAGCAGCCTCACACTCCCCTACACCTCTTCCACCAAGGCAAATTCACTTCTTAATTGTTTTTAGGTAAAGCTTTCAGATTTACTGTAGTATTTATTAGAAATACAACTTTTTAAACTAATATTTTATTAGGATTGTTATTTTTGTTGATGCGCTGGTTAAGAATTTGTATGGATTTTAAGAGGTATGCTCCTAATATAACTTTCCCCTTAAGCTTTGTTATTTTTAGTGTGA